TTCTTTACTAGACTAACACGATCTTTATATCCTTTCGTACTTGTAACTTTTCCTTAAGTTGCTCAAAATTTTTAATATGCATGAATGCGTATTAAATTGTATTCTCATAGTATTGTATCTGGCTTCATTATTTTGGCAAATCAATTTTAAATCTCTTGATACACGATAGTGTGAGTTAGTAAGGCTTGGGTGGTCATGAACTCAAAAACAGCACTTAAAAGATTGCAAATTCTACAGATTTATTTATTTATGCAAGAGTTACTGAACAAATATTTTACTTATATAATATATTACTTATACAATGGGTTACTCAAGCAAGTTTAGGGAACTCGATAACTATAACAAAATTCCGCGTTAAAAACAGTAACAATATTTACTGTTTTGTTCAATATCAAAAGTTAAACATTGCTACTTCGATTCTTTCAAATAGTATCACCAAATTCTTAATTCATGTATTCCCACATCTCAGAATAATGTACCTTGACAACCATGGGTTTTTTTAGCCCAGCACAAAGTTGCCGGTACTTTTCTGGATTTATGGAGGTGCATATCGAGAAGGAAATTCTAGGAAACATTTGTATGGACCTGACTATCTAGTTGAAGAAGATGTAATCGTTGTTAGTTTTAACTATCGTGTTGGAGCATTCGGATTTCTTTCTTCCGCTGATGAAGCACTTCCGGGCAACAATGGGATGAAAGACCAACTTCTCGCGTTAAAATGGACACACGAAAATATCCAGCACTTTGGGGGAGATCCAGAAAAGATAACAATTTTTGGGGAAAGTGCAGGTAGCAGCTCTGTTGGTCTTCATTTGATCAGTAAAAAGTCGGCAGGTAAAAATAAAATAGCTRTATTTAACTAKGACAATTTCAGARGGGTTGAATGTATTGGGCATTTGAATTCTGCACGTTKTTTACTGCGGCAATAAGTCTACTGATTGTTTCTTATTTCTGCAATATTGTTCAATGTCTGAAACAATTTAATATGCTTTATTTTAGAACAATGTCYATTAAATATTTATRGTATATACTACTTACACGTTTTTCTTATTTCTATTTATACTTCTGATGCCTTCACTGAATAATCGGTTTTGAATTCCAGGTTTATTTAGAGGYGCAATTCTTGAGAGTGGAACATCATTAAATTCTTGGAGCGCCTACGCCGGCGCTAGAGCGGTATTTGACGGATTAGTCGAAGTGCTATCTGAAGATGACTTTAGAAATGATACCCAAGAAATGAAAGCTTTTTTAAAATCAAGATCAGTAGAAGAAATAAGTGACGCAGTCAACGCTCTATCCGACAGGCTTTCTGCCACCCAGGTACGATAATAATGAACTTAAATTTAATTTATTAATTTTTTACTTAAATAATGAATAAAGAAGATTTATTATTACATGGGAATGTAAAAGGAATATTTTTGGATAGCTAGTTCTCGTGCCAGTAATCGAAGTTGAAAATGAAGAGGCTTTTATAACGGAATCCCACTACGAACTGTTGAAGAATGGGGACTTTAACCAAGTACCTACAATAATTGGACTCTGTTCAGAGGAATCCCTGCTATTTTTAGGAGGTAAATAAATGCATCTAAAATATTTTTTTTTGTTCAAATTTTAACTCGAATGAATAAACTCGCGCTGGTTGCTCGGTAAACCATCGAATACGAATTTTAGTTAAAATGTTATTGCTTTTGCGTTTATTAAAACTTACAAATTTCATAAAGTGAAAAGTTCGAATACTCGTACGGCTTAATTGGACGTAAATTGTCCAATATGGTATACTAACTGATTATTTCAAGATACGTGTTTGGTTACATTTATCTATACATGAAAATATATACTGCTTGCAGATGTAGCAAATACGAGAGCATTAGGCCAATCTTTCGACACCTATCCAGAGGCAATTATTCCTGATAATTTAGATGCTGACAAAGAAGTGCTAGAAACTGTAATTGACAAAATCAAAAGTATTTATTTGGAAGAAGGCGAGCAATTTGAGGATAACTTGGTGGCTGTAACTCAAGTATGTATGAGAGTTTTATAGTAAGATACTAATTGCAGAAGAGTGGTCTGGATGAAAATTAATTACTTGAATATCAATGATTAATCAAATGTAATTGTTGTACACTTTCATGCAAGGGCGGATC